AAAAATGAGCATTTTTATCAAGCTCCTATATTTATGTTAAATTATTTAACTTTAATGTCATAGAAAAGGACCTATACATTGCCATTAAAGTAAAATTACTGAACCTAAACATAGGAGTCTGATAAAAATGCTAATTTTAGATGAAAATGCCAGACGGCACTTAGAGGCTTTTGCATCTGAACTCTTCATATATACACAAACGCATATAAGACATACACTGCATGGGACAAACATTGTCATGCCTTTGACTCTTGTGTCTATTATCCATTGCCATTTTGCAATAACAGTAATGTGTTCACTAACACAGATTTTCTGCATGGTCACTCTGAGCGCAATGAGTTAAACATGCATGCATGCCAACACACGCACACACACACACACACACACACTCAGAAGGGCACACATGCATACAAACACAGTGTTTCTCCAATGAGACTCTAGTAAGCCACAAGAGAAGCTCCATTCATAATTAACACATTCCTGCCTCATGCCTCCTGTTCTACCCAGCAACCATTCATTAATCCATCCATCCCACAGAGCGGAGTGAGATGATACAGTGTCTAATGTCAAACACACACACAGACACACAGACACACACACACACACACACACACACACACACACACACACACACACACATAGAAGGGCACACTTGCATACAAATAGTGTTTCTCCAATGAGACTCCAGTAAGCCATGAGAGAAGCTCCATTCATAATTACCACATTCCTGCCTCATGCCTCCTGTTCTACCCAGCAACCATTCATTAATCCATCCCACAAACACACACACAGAGTGAGATGATACAGTGTCTAATGTCAAAGTGTCACCATTAGAGGAGAAACAATAATGTACAGTATGTGGAAAATAATGTGTTTTTTTTACTTTAAACCGCATAAACACATTTCATTACACCAAATACACAAAATAATGTTCTTTTTAGCAGCATCATATGACCCCTTTAAGAGAGTGAGAGAAAATTACAAAAGACAAAAACTGGGAGTGAGAACGGAAAAGGAGCAAGTGAGGTGTTCTTCACACATTTTAATTGCTTCTGAAATGAGAAATCCTTTAGTGTGTGTGTGTGTGTGTGTGTGTGTGTGTGTGTGTATGTGTGTGTTAGAGTGTGTCTGCAGTAGTGACAGTTTTTCTGTTTGTTGCCATCTTCCACTACAATAAACCCCAAAAAATAAAAATTCACCCTCGCTTTTTTTCTAAATGCATGCTATTGTCCTTACTGTGAATGATTTATCCATGCATGTTTATTTATCTATTTTTATTTTTCCCTATTTTTTTTAACCTTGTAATTATACAAAAAAAAAAATCATAACTCAGTCTTCTGGTGAAGATGTCAGACTTCTCTCTGGTGACGTATATGTCAGACTTCTCCAATCATTTAGTCTGCATAAACCCCACCCCTTTTCACAATCGTCTGCAAGTGTGCATTCAGATCTGCCCTCATCCAATCAACAACCAATGAACAGAACCAGATCCTCCTACATTTTTTTCTTTTTCATTAATCCATTTCACTTGAATGTACATCAAAATATGCAAGACATGATCTGTCGCTACTTCTGTTTTATCACAACTTTAATGTAAATGAAGACAGCTAACATCGGGCTAATGTTACATGTTCTCTGTGTGCGTGCTCAGTTCTCTTACTGCGTGTCTGTCGCAAACCATTTCTGAGAAAATATCAGATTGAAATGTCTCTGATGGCCACTTGAGAATGTCCGGCTCAGCGTGTGCTCTGAGGCAGTGTACTGTTGTTACCGCAGTAATCTGTACAGAGTGGCAGTATTCACAGAGTGCTGTCGCCTCCATCTGTTACGGCAGTCTGTGTTTACTGTTGGCCTGATCGCCAAGACCCGCACTGCCACACCAGCCCCCACATATTGATTTTTCTCATGACATTTATTCACCACAATGTGAACATGACCATTCTGAGAAAAGAAGAGTGGAAAGAAAGAGCACAAGTTGACCAACATGTGGATGAATAAATTCACCACCTTCCTCATGAATGACTGTATTTGTCTAATCAATTTCTTAGTGCCCAAACAAATTCTAAGACAATGTCAATACAATGAAAATATCAAATTAAGTTTAATGTCTCATATCTAGGCATGCATAACATATGGGGACCATATAGGTTGTCTGACATTATTAATTTACAAAATTACTACTATAATATTATTATATATAATTTTAAAATTTATTAGTATCTGTTGATGCACATTACCATTCAAACGTTCAGGTCCAGTACAATTTTGATTGATTGATTGATTGATTGATATTTTTATTATTATTTAAAATAAATGCTGTTCAATTTATTTACTTTCTATCCATAAAATAATCCTAAAAAAGAGAATCTAAGTTTCCAAAAATATTAGGCAGCACAACGGTTTTAACATTAATAATAACTTTTTGATCCCCAAACTTGAGCACTATTATATATTGCTCCAGTATTGTATATTTAAGTGTTCATGCTCATTTCTCCTATTTTTACATTTAAAGCTCATTTAATCCTTAAAAACACTAATAATTTAATAACACTGTTTAATTTAATCTTTAACAAATCTCAAAATGAATTAATATGACTGCTTTTAATTTTTTGTGTTTTATTTTTAATTTATTTAGACAAAATAGTATCGAATTTTAATACTGGCCATTTATTGGTTATTGGCCATAACATGAAAAATAATTATTGACTTAAAATTATGGCTCATACCAATACATCCCTTCCATCATGCATCATAATCCATATTGCCCATCAAAATCACCAGCTCTGCGCTCCATATACACCATCAGATATTCACGGCAGAATATTTGCTCGTGTTTCTGTGTCAGTATGTACTGTATGATCATTTTCCATCATTTTCTCCCTGAGACAAAAATGGATGAGATCAGTCTGTTGGGAATTCCTTCTGTGGCTTCCAAACTTAATTGAATAGAGTAACTGGATAAACAAGGCCATTTACTTGGCTGACGACCAGCAGAAAGACATACAGAGCACTTACACAAGAGAGAGACAGTGGCAGGTCTATAATGTTTAGCTGAGGTTTCACAAATAGCTGGTGTACAGGTGCATTTACGCAACATTATCATCGTTAATCTTGACTTGCCGTCTCATTGTAAACAAAGCAGATCTGAAGATGACAACAGTGAACAGATACACCAACCAACTTTTAGCATAAAGACAGCCATGGAACAGTGCTTCCCAATTGAAACAATGCTAAATGCAAATAAATATTCCAATCCAATCCAAATTCTTCTGTCACTTGGTAGCTCTAAGATAGCAAAATTAGGCCAACACAGACTGTGCCCTCATAAACCACAAAACAATTCACATAAAAACATTCAACTTATGTCACATTAATAATTGTGTATGCCATTTTTCATTGTACAATAAACAGTATCGGTACTGCAATGGTTCACCACTTGATGTTCAATGAAAAAATCTAGGTCATTGGTAGCAGTTGAGCACCAGTGGCACAGAATAGGTAATATAAAGCAGAAGATGTACTAAGGCATGTTACAACTCTGCTAATGTTCAAGTAAGACATGAATTATGAGTGTTTTCACTCACTGTATGGGCAGTTTCTACAGTCCAGCCTCTCTGCTGTTTCCAGGGCAACAGATGGTGGGTGAGACATGTAGAGCAGTGCAGGTCTCAGGACAGACAGGCCAGTGAGTGGTGCAAAAATCAATCAGTCTGTGCAGAATGACGGGACAGATGCCCCATGACAGGACACTGCGCTGCTCTCCAGGAATCATCTATTACTACAGCAGCCTTCTTTTAAATGATGCTGAAATCATTTGACATTTGAAAAAGTGTTGTCCATTGGCATTTTCACTAGATATAATTACATACTTTAATGAATAAAAAATAATAATAATTAACAAAAGAGCCAGCACACTCTTAAGGCAACTTGTGATTATTTATTTTACATTTTAGTTGTAGATTTTCATACAATCTGCTTACACACCAGTGAGGTTTTAGTTTAGAGGTGGAAATTCATGCTTAGCTTTTCCCCCCCAGAAATATTACTTTTTTCGTACCAATTCATACAGATTTACCAATTCGTCAAAACATATGTGATTTCTCATGAGATCAAGTTATTGGCAAATACATAACTGATACCTGTTTTAATAGTTTGGCCAAATATCTGATGATATTATTTTCTTTATAAATTAAAGCACATGATCACTTTATTACTTTATTTTAAGGACTAATTCTCACTATTAACTAGCATGCATATCATTACTGTATTTTCAGTAATTATAAAGCACATATTAATGCCTTATTCTGCATCACTATATTTTAGATCCCCTAATCCTACCCCACACCTAACAACTACTTTACTAACTATTAATAAGTAGCAAATTAGGAGTTTATTGAGGCAAAAGTCATAGTTAGTAGTTAGTTAATAGTAAGAACTAGACCTTAAAATAAAGTGACCAAAACACTAAGAACAAAAACAATTTGTTTTAAAAGGCACAAGTCAATTTTAGCATGAAAATCATGTAATGAAATACCATCACTGTTAGGGGTGGAACGGTTCGCGGAAAAAAATCGAACCGTACGGTTCTCCACACACAGTTCGGCACGCACTAGGACCGCGGTTCAACTTAAATTTGACAATGCATCTGTAATATGGTTTGCTATAAATACCACGTAAAACAAACAGGGTTCTGCTAATGTATGTTTCTGTTGATGGATGCGCAGTCTGGCTTCCCAATACATTACAACAACAGCGATGAAAAAAAAAACGTGGACAAACCATTCACTCTTGTTCAATGCGAATGCCGTATGCTGGAATATGAGCATTTATTCCATCATCACCCGCCCACGCACAGGTGAGGCCTGAACAGCACACGTTGATATCTGTGTTTAAGCTAAACTCGTTCAAGCTTTGCCAGTTTAAACATTTAAGAGCCAGAGGACGCGAGCTCGCGCGCACAGTGCGAAGATTTGTGCGTGCGCTCATCCGAAGCGAGCAAACCCGCGCCTCAGAAGGCGCGCAAATATTAAGCGCTCTCTGCAGTATTGTGTTTAAATTGACAAATTCACACAAAAATTATGTCAAAATGCCCATCTTGGTAAGTAACCTATAGCAGACATAGACGGCTGAACGTAATGTATCAGTGCACTGGATCAGTGCATTCTCTTAAAGTGACAGCACTTTCTTAATATTAATCAAACAGCAACAACAAAGAAATCACTCACTGCTCTTGATTGAATAGCTTTTGTAACTTTAATAAAGATTCATCTTTAATTTATACAGTCAAATATGAAATGCTGTTTTACATTTCATTACTTTGTTCAATTTCTGTACCTAAAAACTAATGTTAGACCTACCTAAAAAAAAACAGAAAATCACTGTTTATTTTATTTGTACCTTTACTCTATTGTATTTATTTGTGCTGTTGCTTGTAGTTAGATAGATTATTCTTATTTTCTTTATTTTTATTTGACAGTATAGTTTTTCTCTAAACATAGCACATACCGAACCATTCCGAAACTGTGACTCTAAAACCGTGATACAAACCGAACCGTGAGTAAGTTGAACCGTTCCACCCCTAATCACTGTACATGAAAAGATTCCACCACAGAACGAAAGAAAATATTAGAATAGGCATTCAAAATCATTTTATCATATATTTCTCCACCTGCATAATTCTTTCCCTCCCCCACCATTTCTCTTCCTTTATATCTCCTCACTTCTTGCCGAACCCCTCACCACCCCTTTCCTAGAAGTAATTCAGACATCCCTTTTTTCTCCATCATGAAACCTGATGATGTGTGGCGCATGTTGCCTCATGACTCCCTGTTGAGCTGCTAAACATGAAAGTCTGTCAGAGAGGCTTCAGCCTGCAGAGCCTCAAAGCCCCACACAGACCAGCCTCCACCTCTCCACAACATTCCTGCTCTCATTTCACCAGACCTTACAGGCCTAACCTTTGATATACACTAATAAATTACTACTGTTAATGATAGAGGTGATTTGATATGTGTATCTCAGATTAGCTCTGAGATTAGCTGAGATTTTCACTGGTGTTTCTCAGGGGTCAGTCTTGGGCCCGTTACTTTTTAATATTTGTCTGTCACCCCTTGGCAATCTCTTGAGATCACTTGGCCACTGTTATCATTTCTATGCTGATGCTATGCAGATTTATATACATTCAAAACCTGATAAGAGCTTTTCTTTCTGACTGTATTACTGAGATAAAAACATGGATGAATACTAACTGTCTGAACAGTGCTGTTATGCTCATTGGTTCCTGTCATCAAATTTCTGTTCATTGTACCATGTTCACATCATACTGACACTTTACTAGAATAGTGTGTGTGGTAATATGGTCTCCAGAAGTACAGAAGTATAAATATACATCATAGTCTGAGTTGAAGGCAACATTAGAGCCGTCCTAAACCACAACAATCATATAAGATTGAGCCACATACATACACTCGTGTATAAACACAGAATAGAACTGACAGAATAGGTCAACAATCACTGACGAGAAAGAGGCAGCTGTCAAACAAGAGTTGTCTTTCCCACACATGAATAAACCTACACGCTCCACACATTTCCACACACATACAGGCCAGGGTAAGAAAGAATGACCACTATTTTAAATTATTATTATTATAGAGCCTCAACTTAATTCAGTCATTCGGTGAGGAAGAACTGAGTTTATTTACAACCTTCACATCAAGCTAATTTTTCATGAACTATCAGTTAACCTCAGTAAGGTAATGGTGTTATCATAATTTCCTCTCTCTCTCTGAATCACACGCAAATGTTTCCTTTGCTTTGCTCCTATAGCTTTATGCCCTTCCAGCTCATATTTTGCAATAGCAATAGGAGACATGAAATCCGCCGAAGGATTTGTGCCCGCCCTCTTATTTCTCGCTGCGCCATTCATACAATGCAGACATGCCCTCACACAAACACACATACTTAAGGTTTCATTTTAATACAACTGCATGAACATGGTAATACTTTATGTATTCATATCACATATACAAGAAGAAAATCTATTATCGCTTTACACGGAGCACAGACAATCATCAGAAGCATCAAAATAATTTAACATTTACAGACAGCACAAAATGAGACACCAGTACTGGCTCAAATACAGGCAACAATTAAGAACAAGAGATTATGAAGAACTGGGTCCCAAGGGTCAGATGGGTTATAGTGGGTGCTTGTTTGTTTGTTTGTTTGTACTGTATGTATAAGTCCCAGTAGTGTAAACCACTACAAATGTATTTGTACAAATACAATACATAAAACAGAGAAAAATTCTAATACTCAAAAATGTATTTAAGTAAATGTAATATAACATAACTGACATGTAAAGATTTGATGCCTCGTTTGATGCCTCAGTGTCGGTCGTCCCGTAGATCAGAGGGTGTGGTTAAGGACTGATTTTCACACACTACTCTGACAAATGTCAACCAAATTTCACATTAAAGCCATTCTTAAATTTGTTTATAGCCCATAACTGAGGCAAATTAATTTTCTTAGGCAGCGCTGCCAAAATCAGTCTGATGACAAAAGATTCATTTCAGGGGATCCAGTGTGCCAGATGGGGGTGTTAACATTAGTCCGAGACATCCAAGTGAGACTGAAGACAGGATGAAACCTTGAAACATGTTAAAATCACTGCAAAACTTCATTGTCATCTTGTTGTTGTTTTTTTATTTTCTTTAAAAGCTATATTTATATCCTCAAAGCAAGGAAATACAATATGAGAAGCAGCATGTCATAAATATTTATTGGATTAAGTTTACTTTTTTTACTCAAATTACTTTAATGTCGGCATGAAGTGAAAATTCACCCTATTTATGATCTAGACATTTTACTAATCTTATTGCAAATATCTTTTTTTTTTTTTTATTGTTAAACATCACAACTGGTGAAACCGACTTATCTTAGGTTATGTCAGACTTCATTTTTGGTTTGTTCCAATAATTTAGTCCACTTAAATCCAGTACTTTTCTTACACTCAACCTCAAGCTCGCATTCAGATCTGCCTCCATGCAATCAACAAACAACAGATCCATGTCCCCTCACTAAATTTTTTTTTTCTTTTTTGATAATCCATTTCACTTGGATGCACGTCACAATACAGAAGAAATGATCTGTCACCGCTTCTGTTATATTGCAACTTTAAAAATAGATCTCCATTTTAGATTTATGCCTTAAACAAGAAAAGCTATGAAGGAACAAAATATTATTTCCATATCACTGTATAGTCTTGATTTGAACAGACGTGCGGTTGTTGTAAAAAAAAAAAAAAATGTAAAAAAAAAGCATAAATACACTATGACAGCAGGGGCGGGTGATCAGAACTCAGGTGACTGTGATCGGGTAATTATCCTGGATGGTGACTGAAGTGACTGTGATGAATCCCTGACAATACTGTAGTATACTACAACAGTACTGAGCTATTTAAGTGTGCAGGCTGAGGCAAAGCAGAGCTAACAGGAAGAAAGAGAAAGAATGAGACAACAAACGCTGACTGCAGCAGCACATGAAATAGCATAATTCATGCAAGCCTTGATTCCCCTCTCAGCATGCATCTGTACTTCAGAGCTTCTGCCCCCAAAAACGGCTTCTGATTAGACTGAGATGCTCAGAAAGCACAGCATAAAAAAACACTGACAATTACTGACACTGAAATCTGCGTCAGACCTGACACTGCGTGAATTTCATCAAATAAATAAAAAGGTGAATACATGAATAAAAACATAAACATAAAATAAATGTTAATACACCGCAAAAAGAGCTGGGGTTTTTTTTTTTTTTTCAACCCAAATTCTGGGTTGAGACTGTTGGGGAATCAGGGTTGATCTGACCCAACTTAGGTTGATAATCATTCATAATCATTCATTATTCCAAAGTGCTGGGTTGGAAATGTGGATATGAAAAATAGCATGCAAGTCATGCAAGGTCCAACCATTCTCTGAGTGCCACCTATCTGTTTGCAAGAATCATGAAAGGAATATGTGTGAAAAATAAAATTAAATTAATTGAAGCAGAGAGAAAATAGAACTTTGAAACTGACTGCAGCGAGGAGTGTGTTCTTTTTTGTTGGAATATTTTCTTTCACACCAAAATCACTCAAGTATAGTGACTGGTGTCTAGTGAACTGGCAGGAACTGAAAAAGACAGAATGGCTCTTGAGAGTAGTGATTAAAAACACTTTCATCATGTCGATTCGCTATAATACACATTTTATTCCTGACTTTCAGCATTTATTACAGGCTTTTAGTCAGTGTGTTTCTTGGCGCCACTCAAAGCCTGAGGCTTTGACCATAGTGGAACTATTTTCATAAATGAAATAACTAGTCATTGAATATTTATTCAACAATATTGATTAAACTTTTAAAAAGCAATTTAATTTAACTGTATAAGCTCTAAAACTGTTGATTTGCCATTCTTTTCTGCACTTTTTCTCGCTCACATACATATTCACAGGTTATTTTATACTGTTGCCTTTTTAGTCCTTGATAATCAATACATTTCACATTTTCAAATGCAAAAGGCTGTGATTTAAGTAATATTTTTATATAATATTATTATTACCACCGCCTAGTTCTACATTTAAGAATACAGGAACTCTAATACTACAAATAATACTAATCAATATGTAAGTCAGTGACATACTATATATTTTACTCTTGCACATAAAGTATGTGCAAGTATTCATATAATGCATGACAGCACATTGGTCACTGGCTGAGCTCAGTTCCTGGAGAGTGACTCGTGAGGTCAGGTGAGGTGTTGCACTGAGTCAGAGTGTATGTGTGTCACTTTGCATTACAGTAACAGGGCTGACTACAGTGGTGAACCGTACCTGACGTCATAATCAACACCAGGTTACACTCTCTCAGATCTCACCAGTCATGTCATTCTGGGATTTATGCATGGAAAATTTTACACATTCATTTGAAATAGTCGCTTGCAATTGGGGTTGCACCGACTAATCGACTAGTCGACTATAGTAGTCAACATTTGAAGTGGATCAAAAAGTTTCATTAAAGTTTTCCTAAGACAAGAACGAGTATTGTTTTGGTTTTAGGACAACTTTGATGTAACTTTGCAACTACATGTCAACTAGCAGTAATTAAAGTATTAGTAGATTGTCTGCTTAATATCTTCTAACACTTTGATGGGCCCACAACACACAACATAGGCCTACTGACTATAAGAATCTTTGCAAGTATATATCATATATCAACTTATTCGACTAACCCTAACCCTAACCTACCAGTCCAATCTGAGAGTTAGTAGACATATGTAGTACATGTAGTTGCAAATTAATGAGAATTAGTTGACATGTAGTTGCTAAGTTACTTATAGTTAGAATGGACTATCAAAATAAAGTGTAACCTATTTTTATATATATGCATGATATGCAGGGACACGTCTCTCTAGATGACACTGTCCTCATCTTTTATTGGCTTGAGACCAACATCTGGAAGAGCTCATACTCATCCTTACAGAACACTGATACAGTCCAGTGTAGGGTTGCACCAGCTATTTATAAGATATTACTTAAACTGAGGCATTAAGTTCACACTAGGGTCATACAAACTACCATTTCATTTGCTAACTTTTTTACTTTGTCATAGTAAAGATATTTATAATGTTACAAAATATTTCTATTTCAAAAAATAAATAAATAAAAGCTGATCTTTTGAACAGTTCATCATAGTCCTGAAAAAAATATGATTTAATGTTATTATTTAATATTAAGCACCACAACTGTTTTAAACATTGATAATAATAAGAAATGTTTCTTGAGCAACAAATCAGCATGATTTCTGAAGGATCGTGTGACACTGAAGACTAGAGTAATGGCTGAAAACTCAGTAAATTACAATTACTTAAATTGCAATAACTCAAAAAAGGCTATTTTAAAATAAATTTAAAGAGAAAAGTTATCTTACATTGTAACAATTTTCACAGTATTACTGTATTTTTGATCAAATAATTGCAACCTTGGTAAATCCCTAAAAAAAATCTGACCCTAACATTTTAAATGGTAGTGTATATCTAAAAAGTTTAATGGTGCAACACCATTTTTTAGTATCCTTTCATGCTACAGCTAGGCTGAGTAACATATGTACAGCTGGGTTAAACTGGCCCCTGAATGATCCATAGAGCGTATTTCTATTTACATAACATACACTGTAAAAAATTTACATTTTGAAAAATTGTGTGAACTGACAAATAAATATTGACTCAACAAATTGCTTCCCAATAATTATCCCCAAACAAAAAAATGCATTGTAGTAATTTTAGCTGAAGGTCTTAAGTTAAAATTAAAAATATACATTCACCAATCATATTAAATTGTGCTCAGCCAATCTATCAAGCAGAAGTGAAAAATCTGTGTTAGCCGAACAAGCTTTGCAGCAAAAAACGCGTGTACGCATGCGCGTGAGAGAAACCATTGGTGTAGTGATTCTAGTGAATTCAAATTCCTGTGCGCGGGAGAGCGAGATAGCGGAGCCGATGCTGAAGGGCAACAGAACATCATTTACAGACGGATTTTCTATCATTAAAGTTATGGTGAGTATACTGAGTTTTGTATTTATTAAGTCACGTTTCACGTACTACATTGTATTTTGCAGAATAACAGTGAATTCACACATTTACTGGTGTTATGTTGGCGTTTATAACCTAGTTTAGCCCATACTGATCTCTCGGTAGGGTTGTGCGATATATATCGTCTGTGATGATATTGTAATTGTTGTTTTAACGATGGGGGATTTGACATTATCCTGTATATCGCAAAAACCAAACAAAACACGCCCAACTTACAGAGTGCACGAATACATTGTTACGTGATGAAGATTAAACTAGTGCGCATTTACAGTGCGTTTTTTCACTGCATTATTCAGTCTTTACAACAGTTCAATAAACAAGAAGTTAATATTAAAGGGACTTGCGTTTTAGACACAGTATTGCCTTTTTTTGCTCTATTTCGCCAACAAAAATCATTCCAAACACAGCCACAACACTGTTTTGCGTCTCTGAGCAACATGCTGTGTTTCGTTCCTGAATGAATGAACTTTTTAAATGGTTCAATCACAATGACTCACTTAACAGTGACTTGCTGCCACCTACTGGCGGTTTTAATTTCACATTTAAAGTATCTTTTCATTTTTTAAATAATTGTAAATATCAGTATTCAATGTTTTATGTTTAAAATATCAAAACATTATTTATGCATGTGTAACTGCAGGTTAAATGCATTCATGTTCTGCATTAAACAGTGTGATGCAGCTTCTCTTTCCTCTGCATTGCAAAGATTAATTTTGTTGATACTGATTTCATCTGATTGGTAACAGCCCGAATGTCTTATTATTCTAATTGACTGATTAAATTTAAGAATTTGACTCAAAAGATGATGCACACTTTTATAAAAAAAAAAATTGTTTTATAAAGGTAAAAATACCCATAAAAGGTAAAAATCAATTTAAACTTATTGGAAAATATTAATTTATATCACTGCTGTGAACTGACCACCATGCAGAATATGAAGAATATCAAAAAATGTATGAGTCAGCTGTCCACGGTAGTCCTTAAGATACCAGCACAATAACATCGTTATCGATAAAATCTTAGAAAATATTGAGATATAATTTTTGTCAATATCGCACACCCCTATCTCTCAGTTACCTAAAGTTACTATTTATTGAACTAAATTATTTTTATCTCACTTTATGATGAATATATGAAATGTATGAGACACAAGGAACACGTTTCTGCTATAACTATTTTTTTTTCCCATTAGTGTAACTCACCACTGCTAGGTCTGAGCTCACTAGGGCACCATTTGTTGTAGAAAAGGAACCACTACGAATTTCACAGTGAGTATTTAACAGTAGTTCTTATCGGATATATGTTTATTCTATATTAGTGTCATATACTATTAGCTCTTAGATGTAATTTGTGAGGAGTTGCTTTATTGAGTGTTGCCACTCA